TCACACAGGGCTGGAAACAGCATGGAGGGACCCCAGGGGGCTGAGTGCAGGGCATATTCTGACAGAGCAGGCACTCAACAGAATGGCCAGGATGGGAATGGGGAGGAAAGAGGCCTCAGAGGTGGGACCAGGACACTGGGGCCCCAGCCAAAGGATGGCATCTGCCAACACTAGGGTGGGCCACAGTCACAGCAAACCCCGGAAGGGGAGTGCAGGCCTGTGTGGGTACATCTAGGTGCAAGGCCATAGCTCAGGGCCCCAACCTGCTAAAATCACAGCAGGCCTTGACAGACACACCCAAAAGCAAATATCCCACACTTCAGGAACACTCTGAACTGGGCTAAGCAAAGCAGCAGGCATCCCTAGCGCAGGAAGGAAAAGCCACAGGGTGGAGGGGACTGGGTCGTGAATCTGCCCTAAGGCCTAGAGAAACTCCTAGGCGTTCCCCTAGAAGACTTCAGTGACAACTGTATCAAAGGTAGACTCCAATCTCATCACCAAAGACCAGCAAAGAAACAAAGAATGTCAGCTGCTCCCAGCCTTTGGCAGCCCTTCTTCTGTATAGCAAGGAGGCCAAGGGAGAAACGCTGGAGTCTGGGCCTCCTAGCATTTTCTAGGTATTCTATACACCCCTGGCCTACGGGCGGGCAGGAGGAGACATTCCTCAGGAGTGACTGGGTATCCTGGCGTTTAGGGAAACTGCCCCCCAAGCAGGAGTGCTTACAAGCCAGGGCAGGGCTGGCAGGAGACCATGCTCTTGACTGGCCAGCATCCCCGCTCTGCCCCTTCTGATGCTCTTTCCTGGCAGGGACACAGTCCTGCAGCCAGGAGGCAGAGCTAGTGCCAGTCCTGCAGCAGGCAGGACAACTGGCCTCGGGCCCACGGAAAAGGCAAATGAAGCCAGAGGCAGACGGGTAGGTCTCTGTCCTCCTCCAAAACCCCATGTGGGGTGGGATGAGGGGTGACAGTCACAGAATAATTCACGCCTTGGGAGGGGCACCAGGACCAACCTGTGGGCAGGCAGGGACACAACTGGAAAAAGCGCTGGACTGGACGGTTGGAAAAGGAGCCACCCCAACCACCTGGCTGGGTCTCTGCTAGGGCCACGAGGAAGCAGTTGCCTAAGCTGGGCTCCAGGGACCCTCTGTCTTCGTGGTAAGGCTGGGAGGGGACGTCCTGTACTCACGGATGGGAAAAGTCTCCCCATAACGCCCACATCTCCAGTTCCCACATGCCCCAGAGAGGAGGATGGGGGCCAGGCCGAGCCCAGATCCGGCCAGAAACGGGTCAGGGCTCTGAGGGCCGCGGTGTTGCCGTGCGACGTCCGTCTGCTCCGGCGCGGGCCTCCTTCCTTCTCGTGCCCAGCCCCCAGCGCCCACAGCAGGCACTCGCACCAGGCTGGGAACGCAGGGGGAGCCGCGCACGTGCAGGGCCGGCCCGGGGGTCGCCGCGCGTGGGTGCGCGCACCGAGGGGTCCGAGCCCCCGCTCTTACTTGTAGGTGAGGCCGTCGGCGCTGGCGAAGAGCTGCTGCGCGGTGAGCCCGTCCTCGGGCACGTAGCCGGTGCCGCCGCTGATCAGGTAGTCCGCCATGCTGCCGCGAGACCCCGCGACCCGACATAAACACCCGCGCGGCCGCCAGCCGCTGCCGCCACCGCCGCCGCCGCCGCTGCTGCTGACGCCGCGCCGCGGCCACGCTGCCGCCGGGGGCCAGGCGGGCCGGGGGCGGGGGCTGCGGCAGCGGCGGGGCGGGCCAGGGCGCCGCCTTCTCTTCCCTCTCCTCCCGCCCCTCCGGCCCCTCCTGCGGAGACAGCTCCGCCCGCGCCGCACAAAGGGCCCCGCAGACCCGGGCCCTGCCGCCGCAGCGCGCACGCCCCCAGTCGCCTGCAGTGGCCTCGCGACCCAGCCAGCCCGGACTGGGGAGGAGGTGGGGCTCGCGGGGAAGAGGACGGGGCCAGGCCAGGACACGCCCCCTCCTCCGCTCCACTACCAGCCTCCCAGGACCCCCAGCAGAGGCCCCACCCCACCCCCGAGTTCTCCCCCAGCCTGGGCCACCCACTTTGCCTTTCTCCCCAGGGTACCTCTCACACGGTTCTGCCGTTCCCCAATCCCAAGTACTCTTCCCCAGCCCTGATCAAGGCCCGGAGCCCTAAGAAACCGGTCTGGGCTCTCAGCTCCCCCGCACTAAGGACTTTGAGGTTGGACCGCTAAACGACGTCCCTCCTAGGGAGCGGGTATTCTTCACAATGACACTCATTGACCTTTGGGTGGCCTTGGAGCCGTCTGCAGTTTACAAAGCATTTTTCATAAATGATTACATTAATTCCACAATCTATTAATTGCAAAGTATTGGGTACCCCATTCCCTGGACAGGCAAAATCTACAGTTCGGAAAGGGAGGGAGGGGTACTGCTTCTGTACCCCTGTCTCCGGCAGAGAAAATGTTGTTGGTACCAGGGCTTTTAATCTCAGAGAGCAGTTTGTTATTTGGGAGGGTCCTGCAGTGAGCGGGAAGATGAAGGAGGATCATAAGCATGGCTTAGGCAAGTGTGCATACAAATAAGGACGGGGCTAGGGAACTTCTGAAAAATCCCCAAAGCAGAAGTTGGTGGCCCTGGGTACCCAGAAGGATCCTGATTTCTACACTGGGGCAGTGACTGGGTAGTAGATTGATTCGCATGGGGAAAGGGGGGATGGCAGGATGCCACCCTTCCCTCTTATGGGACCAGAACTCCTCCCTGACCAAGAGCAGGTTTCCCCTACCCAGACTCCACAGCCTCCTCCCTGTGTCCTCCTAGGTCTCCCACAGCTCACTTGGGAAGATGATAATAAGGTGGCATGGGACACAGTCCCCTCCCTGGTAGAGTGGCTGGCTGTGGCCCTGGGAGGCTGGGTTTGTTTACTTCTCAGCAGTGTGGTGGCAGCCAGGCCCAGGGGAGGCTTGGCCTCCAAGCCATGAGGTTCCCTGGGATGCCCAGCCTCCCTCATTGATGCCATCGGGACCCTGCCAGGAAAACACAGACTGTTCCATCTGTGTGCAGAGGGGAGGCTGGGGCCAGCTTGCCAGCTATGCCTGGGAAGCACCTCTGAACCTTCAGCACTCACGGGCTCACAAGGTGTGCCCAGGCCACTTGGGGGACCAGGGGAAAGTCCTGAGGAGCACCAGCACTAGGACCTTTCACTGACCACGTGGAGCAGAGCAGTGATACCAGCCAGAGAAAGTGCCTGACCATTCAGAGCTGTTCTGGGGTACCTTTCTGGCCACAGAAGAACAGAGCTATCATGCCAACTGCAGGCACGGAGCAGAGACCACCCCAGTGGTCGCTCTGGGTCACTGGGTCACTAAGCGACCTGCTCTTGGTCTCTATCCCCTACAGTATGGGTCAGGAAAGGCTAGAGTACTATTCAGGGTTCAATCAGAGCCCGAGGCCGAGGAGAGCAGCTGGATTTGACCATATCAGGTGACCTTTACTGTGACATCTGCCCCAGCCTAGAACTCTGGGACCCAAGGGAGGAGGCTGCCTGGCTGAGGCATGGGGAGGGTCACCTTCCCAGTGATTACAGACTTCATGGCCCCACTACCCTCTCCTGCTCCCCAACTCGCCTCCCACTTTGACCTGTGTCGAGCTCCTCATCACTCTAAGCTGCTGGGCTGAGCCCTGGGTTAGGCTGTGCTTTTCCAGAGACTCCGCTAATCCACCCCCAACCCCCGCTCTCCTCCACCCTCTTCCTGATCTTCCCCAGCTGCTTCCTCCATGGGGAGGAGACACCGAGGAAACCAGTGAGCCGCCGCAGCCAAGGAAGGGCTGTTGTCCCCTGAGACCCCCACCTAGCAGCTATGGGGATAGGACGGCAGGTCCAAGTCCTTTTCTCAGGGTAGCAAGGTAGCAGTGCTCAGCTGGGTGCAGAGGTCCAGGCAGGGAGCCCCAAAGGCTCTGTCTGGCCTGGGGCTGTTTGAATGAACAAGATTTCAAAATACTCTTGAGGGGAAGATGGGGGAAGGGGAGAAGAGGTTATAACATTAGCACTGTTGAGCTAGGACGGGGGCATAGCCTGTCCAAGTTCAAGCCGGAGAGCAAAAACACGGGATTCGCCAGCCGCGGTGGCTCACGCCTATAATCCTAGCACTTTGGGAGGCTGAGGCGGGTGGATCACGAGGTCAAGAGATCGAGACCATCCTGGTCAACAAGGTGAAACCTCGTCTCTACTAAAAATACAAAAATTAGCTGGGCATGATGGTGCGTGCCTGTAGTCCCAGCTACTCGGGAGGCTGAGGCAGGAGAGTTGCTTGAACCCAGGAGGCGGAGGTTGCAGTGAGCCGAGATCGTGCCATTGCACTCCAGTCTGGGCAACAACAGCAAAACTGTCTCAAAAAAAAAAAACAAACACGGGATTCAAACCCAGGACTGCTCACAGAATCCTGTCCTCTTCCCACAGCTCCAGGTTGGTGAAGGCAGGTGGAGGTCTGGCCAGCAGGTTTTGAATCTCACTACACCACCTGGCTGGGGCTCAGGTTTACACAGGCTCTCTGAGCCAAAGTGGGGGATGTGGGTGGGGTTGGAGTGGGGGTAGGGATGGCCCCTTGATGCAGAACTGCAATTTGGAGAAGGGATGCACTCACATGGCTTGGGCTTGAGCTCTGAAACAATATGTTAGCAATCCCTGCTCTAACCAAGCCCTGACTCCATCAAGCCCCAACCGGCTCCTTCAGCCCCTGTGGCCCCTCCCCATCACCCTGCTGCTTGAAGCCCAGGAGCTGGATTTTTAGGGTGGGAGAAAGTCTGGGGGTTGCCTAAGCCTGAGTCAATTCTAGAGAGACAGCCTGCCCGCACAGGAGGGGACTAACGCAGCAGACCACTGCCCAGGAGCCCCTTAAGCCATTAAAAGTTCTTACATAAGCGGCCAGCCCCTGGGCAGAGCTGCCGGGCTAATTCCCCCAGACCGCCCCCCCAAACCCAGCTGTCAGGTCACCTCCCCAAGCTGCTATACACCAGCAGATGGGCAGAGAAAGAAGTCCAAATCCTCTGGACCGGAAGGACAGTGGGATTGCATTTCAAGCTGCGATACAATCCAGAGATTAGCTGCTGTCTTCTTTTCAGCCAGTCCCCCTGGGGCCCAGCTCACTACCCTACTCTTCCTCCAGCGACCCTCCTACCCCGACAGACCCCAGCACGGGGGCCTGCGTCTTCCGAGAGACCTTGAGGTGAGCTGCCCTGGCAGCCTCATCAGATCTCACTGCATGGTGAGGAGGGAGAGTGTCCTCGCCTAGCCCTGCGAAGGCGATCCATCTGGACACCTACACCTGCCAGTAAGACCACTGAAGATAGTTCTAAGAGGAAACAGCTAAGGAGGGGTAAGCAAGTCGGACAGGGACTCCAACAAGCACTGTTTGAACCCCAGGGGCTGGAGCCACCTGAACAGGGTGTCGTCGGGTGTATAGCGAGGTCCAATCTAGGGCTAAGATTTTAGGAAACGTTTTGACGACCTGCTTCCTCTCCTCTGCTCTCCAGTGCAACGAAGCACCTAATCCTTAGCACAGTGCCCGCCTGGATCCCCCAACCAAAGCCGAGAACGTGGCGTTTCGGAAAGTTGGAGGCTGAGGCGGTAAGAGGGAAAGGATGTGTGGGGCCTGCCCCTCCCCTCCCCCGCAGCGCCGCCGGGTTCCCAGAGCCGCCGCGCCCTCCTCGGCCGCCCGCCCCGGATGCGCCCCGCGCGCTCTGCCCTGGGCGTCACCTCTCCGGCTCGTAGCCGGCCTGCAGCAGTCGGGCGCTGTACCGCTGCGCCGCCGTCTCGTGTCCCGGGTGTTGCCGGGCTCCGGTCTCCGGAACGGCGGCGGCTCCGCCTCCCTGCAGCGGTAGCGGAATGAGCGGCCCCTCCATGCGGAGGCCGCAGCTCAGGGCGGGCGGGAGCCTCTCCGCCTGGAGGCTCCCCCGGCCCCGGCTGGGCAGTGAGCGCAGCCCGATCGGGTCCCGGGGAGGGGCGGGACCGCCGGGGCGGGGCCTCGGGCCGGGGGCGGGGCCGGGGAATCCGGGAGTCGACTGGGCTCCGCCCTGGGCTCCCAGCTCTCCTCCGCGCCGCCACGCGGATGCCTAGACTCGGTCGGTCTCTCCCATCCCGGATTCAGCGAGGGTATATCGGGGAATGAGGGGCAGAGGTGTCCCCACACGGGTGGAACTGGAAAGGACCCCGGCCCTTCCGTGCTGTCCGGACCTTCCAGTGTCTCGAGGCCCCTTCTGAGGAAAACCAGAAGAGGACAGGAGCGGGCCGCCGGAGGCAGGGCTTCTCCTCGCGTCTCGGATCCGCTCCTCTGCTGCACGCCGACGGTGCCAGGTCTCCTGGAGCGCCTCCTACCCGCCGGCCGCAGACCTCCCGCGCTGGGGCGAGAGGTGGGGCACTCTCCATCTGCCTTTGCCTGCTCGGCCGGCCCCACGTTCGAGAGCAGGGAGAGAGATTTCCACAGCCTGTCATCTGCCAGGGGACGAACAGAACAGACAAGGCTGCGGGCTCCTTAAGGAACAGGACCTTGCCTCGTGGTGGAGGTACTTTGCCTTGTGATGTTACCCCGTAACAAGGGAGGGGGGCAGAGCAATGTACTCCAGCTTGTTTGTCCACTTCTTAGAAAGAGCACTTTTTCCTACTGTTATCATTGTGAACAGTGATTGAACACCTACCAAAACTGGCAAAGAAATGTTAAGACTCCCTGCCCTCAGGCAGTTTATTTCAGGAGACAGAGTAGACGAAAATAAACAGCTGACAATTCTCATGTCATGTACAGATGGTCCTCGACATACAATGGTCGACTTATGATTTTTCAACATTACAGATGGATTTATCCAGAAGTAGCCCCATCTTTAAGTAAGTCGAGAAGCATCTGGACTTTTAAACGAAGTCTGACAAGTCTGAGGGAATAAATGGTAAACACTACGTGATTGGGGGGTGCTAAAGATGTATTAGGAGTCAGACTTTCAGCAACTTTTTTTTTTTTTTTTTTTTTTTTTTTTTTGGGGTCTCCTTTTTTTTTTTTTTTTTTTTTTTTTTTTGATACGGAGTCTCACTCTGTCACCAGGCTAGAGTGCAACTCCTGGGCTGGGTTCAAGAGATTCTCCTGCCTCAGCTTCCCAAGTATCTGGGATTGCTGGTGCCCGCCACTACGCCCAGCTAATTTTTTGTATTTTTAGCAGAGACAGGGTTTCACCATGTTGGCCAGGCTGGTCTTGAACTCCTGACCTTGTGACCCGCCCCTCTCCGCCTCCCAAAATGCTGGGATTATAGCCATGAGCCACCGCGCCCAGCCTCAGCAACTATTTCACAAAGGAGACTGAATTTATGCAACAGTAAGGCCTTGGACTTTATCCATCATGGTGCCTCTTCCTATGCACATACACACCCACTCCCCAGAATCAGGATTCCTTTTTTTTAAAAAAAAGTTTTGGACCAGGCACAGTGGCTCATGCCTGTAATCCCAGCACTTTGGGAGGCCAAGGCGGGTGGATCACAAGGTCAAGAGATTGAGACCATCCTGGCCAACATGGTGAAACCCCGTCTCTACTAAAAATACAAAAATTAGCTGCGCGTGGTGGAGTACACCTGTAGTCCCAGCTACTCGGGAGGCTGAGGCAGGAGAATTGCTTTAATCCAGGAGGCGGAGGTTGCAGTGAGCGGAAATTGCACCACTGCACTCCAGCCTGGCACATGGAGACAGAGCAAGACTCTGTCTCAAAAAAAAAAAAGTTTAAAAAATTTAGGTCCGGCACAGTGGCTCACACATATAATCCCAGCACTTTGGGAGGCTGAGATGGTCAGATCACCTAAGGTCAGGAGTTTCAGACCAGCCTGGCCCACATGGCTAAACCCCATCTCTACTAAAACATACAAAAATTAGGCTGGGCACAATGGCTCATGCCTGTAATCCCAGCACTTCGAAAGGCCGAAGCAGGCAGATCATGAGGTCAATAGTTCGAGATCAGCCTAGCCAACATGGTGAAACCGTCTCTACTAAAAATACAAAAATTAGCCGGGCGTGGTGGCGCACGCCTATAGTCCCAGCTACTCAGGAGGCTGAGGCAGGAGAATCACTTCAATCTGGGAGGCAGAGGTTGCAGTGAGTCAAGATTGTACCACTGCACTCCAGCCTGCCAACAGAGCGAGTCTCTGTCTCAAAAAAAAAAAAAAAAAAAAAATTAGCCAGGCATGGTAGCGCATGCCTGTAGTCCCAGCTACTCAGGAGGCTGAGGTTTGCAGTGAGCCAAGATTGGGCCACTGCACTCCAGCCTGGATGACAGAGTGAGACTGTCTCAACAACAACAAAAAAGCTAAAATTAATTCATTGATTATATTCAGTGCCCTCTGATACTTAGTATTCTGTCTCCTGTTTTGGTGAGGGGCCCGATAAATTGATTTTGGACTCACCATTTGAAAAATAGTACCCTAAAGCCAAAGGTTTCTGTTTGGAAATAAGCAGATAAGGTACCCATATGTGTTTATAAAGACTCTGAAGGAGCAACTAGTCAAAACCAATTTTTGACTAGTTTTAAATGATTGTCTGTAAACATGTTAAACTGCTGAGAAAACCCAAATCCAAATAAAGTTACCAGGACAGTAAGAATGATATGCAAGATAACTGTAACATAATTAAATGCACTGTAACCCAGTGAACAGTGTTCTCAGATGAAGACAATGTACCAGAGGAGAAAAAAAAGAGTGACAGAGCAAGACTCTGTCTCAAAAAAATAAAATCATGGAAAAATGGAATTAAAAGATAAGAAGAAAAAAAATAAACTTTATTTTCAACATAAGTTCCATCAAATTCAAGACACATTCCTAAGCCATGATACCGGCCATTTCGTCCAGCCCTAAAGAACTTAAGGTCTTTGGAATTTAAGCAAGTCAGTGCAGTCTTTTTTTTTTT